GGGGGGGGGGGGATCATCCGCACATGTGAACACACTTTGCTGGAGCCTTGGCTTAGTCTTCCCAGATGTGGGAGACAGCCCCTGCCTCCTCTTGAGGGTGGGGTGGGTGGGGATCCTAGAGCCTTGCTCTAAAGCCCCTTATCGCTCGGTTCCAGCACCGCCTCTCCAGCCTTTATCACACTCAGACCCACAGGGGGACGACCCTGCTGTGCCAGGCCATCTTGAGGTCCCAGCCCTGTCTCCTCCACCCCTAGGATCAACACTCCCAGGAAGGAAGGGGGCTTGGGTCCCCTGAACATCCCCCTGCTGGCTGATGTAACCAGAAGTTTGTCTGAAGATTATGGAGTCCTGAAGGAAGATGAGGGCATTGCCTACAGGTAGTGTTTGGCCCTCAGGGAGCCCCAGTCCTCAGGGTGAAGGGACTGCCCCCAGCTCTGTGGCCAGTAAGGAGCTGATAGTCCCTCCCCGGCCCCGGCAATGGGAGCTTCCAGCTCTTTACCATGAACCCTGGTATCTTCAGGGGCCTCTTTATCATCGATGGCAAGGGTGTCCTTCGCCAGATCACTGTCAATGATTTGCCTGTGGGGCGCTCGGTGGACGAAGCTCTGAGGCTGGTCCAGGCCTTCCAGTACACGGACGAGCATGGCGAAGGTGAGCAGACACACAAATCCACCTGGGTTCAGACGTGGGTCCGTACTCAGCCCTCATGCAGGCATTTACTGCCTGCTCTGTCACTTGTGTGGGACGGATGTGAGGGCCCCAACGAGCTCAGGGTCTTGTCTGCCGGAAGTTTGTAGTCTGGAGGGGGAGATACCCCAATATGAAGGCAAGGGGCTGGGAAGCAACAGATCTACAGAAGGTATTTGAAAAGATGTGTGTGCCAAGGCGGAGTTTAAAGAATAGCTGGGCCAGAGTATCTTCTTACGTGGAGGACATGGCCTGATCACAGACCCTCAAAGTCCAGTGGTCTACAGCTGAGGGAGAAAGCAGCATTAAAGGGGTCAAAAAGAAATAAAAATATCAGCCCGAACATCCTGTAGCTGCACTTGGAGGCCTTGTCTCGACATGCTCTTGGGCCTGTACCACTTAGCTCTGGGCTTTTTCTTTTGCCACTCAGGCTCTTGCTTTGCCTCTGTTCATCCCCTCATACTGCCCCTATCTTTTTTTTTTTTTT